GAATGACTTGATTGATCGATCGTTGAGTTGGTTTCATGTGTTCGCTTTTTTGACTCCTTTTGTGCTGCGTGCATTTCTCATCCTTTCTTGAACTTTCATGACCTTTCATTTGGCATCCGAGACTTCCAAATAAAGTTTCTTTGGGGCTTGACAATGACCGAGGCTCATGGAAGGAGCTCAGCCTGGAGATAGTCGGAAGTCATAGCTGCTCCACACAGCCTCTTAAGAGATCGGAAGAATTTTCGAGGATCCACAGATTCGTCACAGATTCGTATGATTCGATGATTTGCATGATTTGGATGGGTTCGACGACACGCGCCTTTTTTTGGATAGCTACAGCTGGAAAAAGGGGTTGAGATGGGAGGAGTGAGGAGGTTTGGTGCTGTTTGACAGGTCTGGTGCTGGTGTTCTGTGGCTTTGGCACCCAACATCCGAAGGCAGCAGTGCGAAGCGGTACTTGTGAGGCGGTTACTAGTAGCGAACCTTGTTACTACTAGTAAGGCCCTTGCTCCTAGTAGCGATGCCCTTTGCTCCTAGTAGCGAACCTTGTTCCTAGTAGCGATGCCAGGAGCCCCTAGTAGCATCCTTGCTCCTAGTAGCGATGCCCATAAAGCGATGCCCACAAAACATGAAATAGGGCCCTCAATGACTCAACCAGATGTCGATTTGCAAGTCTTCACAAACTCTTGAGTGAGCACTATAGACGTGACCATTGTACTTTGCCACACCTTCGTGCTCTGATTGGACGTTTCTCAGGACCACGAAGGCAAAGATTATGAGGCGATTCCGCTTGGGTCGGGCAGGAGAACTTTTAGCATGACAGTTGTAGAGACACGGTCTGCAATTACAGTTCATTTGAATTTGAACATGTCATGAAACCCAAACAACTGGCATTCACAGACGAGCATCCCACGCCAGCGAATATGACCTGTTGGACAGAATCTTTTTGTATCGAATTCTCACCACTAGCTTATTGTTTCTAATAGCTTCTTGTTACTACTAGTAAGGCACTTGTGCACTTTGTATCGAATTCTCACCACTCACATCCACCGATCCGAGACTCGTCCTACCGTAGACTTGTCGTAGCCGCTAGTAGGTTGGAGGCCATCGCTAGTAGCGAGGCTTTCCTGGTGCCTTCGGACTATGCAGCGGACCTTCCGAAGGATTGGTTGACGCAGGCGAACAGCTTGTCGCCAGCATAGAGCGAGCTCATTCTTGGCAGTTTGCTCTCGCGTTAGTCTTCGTTCCAGGAATCTTATATATGAAAAGGGAAGGTTTTGCGGGCGGAAAGTTGCGTTTTCTACCTTGTCTTTTGAAACATGTTGCAAATGCGCTTCTTGATGAACACATCAGTCAGTCAGCTTTACCATTCCACCCCAATATGGATCACAGCCACGTTGCCCGGACCTATCAACTTTGATGCGCAATCCAACATTCACCTTGGGAGAGGCCAATGCGCCAGTGTCTTTCAGCTGCATTGAGGTGTCCAAAGCATGACACCATGTTATTTCATGCTTAAATTCAACCAAGACAATCTGCATGGCACTTAAGCACGAAGGTCAGAGTCTACAGACTTCAATGAGGATTCTTGTTTGCTGTCGTTTGAATAGACTTGGATATACAGACCTGATGGATGTTGAATCGGGCTTGGTAGTCTCTTTCCTTCGTACAATCAGGACGAACATCACAATATGTGCCAGGTGATTTTATCAAAGAGTTACTACTAGTAAGGCACTTGTTACTAGTAGCGATGCACTTGTTCCTAGTAGCGAACATTGTTCCTAGGTCCTTTTCTCCTGTCTCCGAGGCCACCCGGCGTGCCAAAGAGCGTTTGGGGCCTCGAAACTCCGCTCTGTCGAGTCGTTGAAACACCGGAGGGGCGAGGTCGCTATAGTAGCTGACTTATGCTAGGTCGTACCTACTGGACGCAGGAGAGCTTGTGCTCATGATTGGGTTGCGAGATTTTTAGGGACACTTCACTTGGCGGAATCAAACTCAGACTCTTTGGGCACTAAACCTGTTTGGTATCAGTTGCTTTGCGACCGAGGTGCCGAAAGCTCCACCTGGTGCGGCCTATCGCTTGATCTCGATGCTGGAGCCGGTGACCCCAGTGCCCAACAGCGAAGGGAAGCACCGAACGAAGCAGCACCGCGAAGCACCGCGAAGATGCAGCGGGGCGAATGGGACGTTTCAGGTTGAACCGCTTTATTATGCAGATCCCGGCGGGTGCAGGCGAGAAATTGGTGTGGAGTCGCTTTGCGATTTGAACTTTAACTCAGACTTTTGCAGGACATGCACAGTTCAATCTTTGTGACACTTGGAACCAACAATTTCCTGACCTGTACTAGTTGGAGGCACATGTCACCTTCATACTTGTGAATTCAAATTTCCAGCCGCTCCTGTTTGTCAAATTGGCCACATCAAGTGTTTGGCTTTGAAACCTAGTGCTCCGTTCCTGTGCTATTTATGACTTTCTGGAGAAGGCTAGTAGGTTAGAGGCCATTGCTATTAGAAACAAGGAAAAAAGGAAAGGAAGAAGGGTCTAAATCATTAGCTTCTTGTTCTTAGTAGTAAGGCCAGGAGCCCCTAGTAGCGTCCTTGCTCCTGGTAGCGATGCCCTTTGCTGCTAGTAGCGTCCTTGCTCCTAGTAGTAAGGCCAGGAGCCCCTATTAGGTTGGCGGACCCTGGGCAAAGTGCTTCCCATTTTCTCGCAGCTTTGACGACCATCTTGGACTGCTCATATCCAGCTCTACCTGGCCGGGTGCCTCAGCTGTGCCCCAAAAACAAGGAGAAAAGAACAAAGGAAAATACAGATAATAAAGAAGGAAACAAAGACACCTACTGCAATAGCGATGGCCTCCAACCTAATAGCGATGGGATATGTCATGAGGATCGGAATCGATGCCATTTTTGGGGTTTCGCACCTGTATGTGCGCCTGCACATCCAAAGACAGGTGACGGCTTGCGGATATGGATAACCAACATGTTCGCCCGGGTGTGGAGCGAACGCAAAAGAATCACATGCTTCAGACATCGCTACGAACGGAACAAGGAAGCTTCTTCCAGGGCTCCTGGCCGTACTACTAAAGCGAGGAAGCTACTAGGAACAAGTGCATCGCTACTAGGAGCAAGGGCCTTACTAGTAGTAACAAGAAGCTACTAGGAGCAAGGACGCTTCGGACGTGTGATACCGAGGTGTGAGTCCAAGCTGCAACATCCCGCCCACCTTCCCCAAGGTCCCACGTGGACGCCACTTCCTCGGATTCAGCGGATCAGGGTTCTGCCGGTTTGGGCAGCCATGCACTTGTTACTGGTAGCTTCTTGCTCCTAGTAGTAAGGCCAGGACCCCTAGTAGCGTTCTTGCTCCTAGTAGCGATGCCAGGAGCCCCTATAGTAGCTTCTTGCTAGTCATTTTGGGGGGGTCTTGGGTCGAACATGAGGCGTTGATTATGACAAGATGTTCGACTTTGTCACACGGCCAAGGCGGGCAAAAACACGCAGGACAATGTGGGACAAACATTCACAGACCGGATAACATATTTGCACGAGATGCACAAGTCATATTGTGTTGATCAGTTTATATTGACTTTGACGTATGTTCAGTAAGCGCCAGGTTGACAAGGGGTCGCTGAGAGCCTTTGGTTATCGTTCGCGGCAAACGACTACTTACTGTAGCGAATTCCCACCTGTCTCTGGTTTGTATCCTGCAGGTTCTTGGAGCTTCCTCCACTGCCTGTGCAGCACACGTTTGGGCACCCAGATCAACCAGAAAGAAGCCTTTGGCACGCCAAAGACCTGTATCCCGAATCTGTTCTTCATCCATACGCCAGAAAAAATCAAGACGCTCAGATGCAGACTGGACTTTGCACTGGGCGCAGCTTCAGGCTGCCGCAGATCTGGAAGCCCCAGACCTACCCAACCTGTCAGTTACATTGCTTCTGTGCCGGAAGGTGGGGGTTTCAAGACCCAGGAGTTCCGGTGAAGATGCAAAGACAGGAACGGAAGAAAGAACGAAATGGAAAGACACAACCTCGTGAGTCTCAATCTCTTAGCTCTCCTGTTCCTTTTTCATTCCTGTTCCTCTACCCGAGTCCCAAGTCTATCGGCCAGGCTCCAAGAATGGCCTTCGGAGCTGCCGTTGGAAGGGACCGATCGAATCCGACCGAGGGGCGAAACGGGGCCGTGACGGACTTGGCCGAGAGAACGCGGAATCTGGGTTATAGCGATGGCCTCCAACCTGAGAGCGATGGCCTCCACTTATGTAGTAGCTTCCTTGCTTCTTGTTACTAGTAGCTTCTTGTTCCTACTAGTAAGGCACTTGTTACTAGAAGCGATGCACTTGTTACTAGTAGCTTCTTGTTGCTAGTAGTAAGGCCAGGAGCCCCTATAGTAGCGTCCTTGCTCCGTTCGTAGCGATGCCCTTTGTTCTCGTTCGTTGCTTCGGAATTGGAAAGCTGCTCCGACCGGGTCCGACGGTGACGCGTGGAATTTGCGAAGAATCGTCAATCGCCGGTCCTTGGCAGGACTGTGCAAGGGACCTTCACGTGGGCTTTTGCCAAGGCCGGTGTGGGATGTTGGATTCCAGGCATCGCCTTTTTGCTATCTATTTCATTCCTCCCCCTTTGAGAAGCACTCGGTTCTGTTCCGGAGTTCCAAGACTGTTGAACGATGTTGACGTGTATTAGCAGCATATTGGCAAATAGGAATCTAAATAAAGCATCGAGCACCAATCTCACCAGTTGAGCCGTCGTTATCTCAGCCGATCTGGTGGGCAGGCTAGGTGTATCTTACAAGCCTCCAGAACGTCTCGCAAAGACGGTACCATGCAAACTCATGACCATGCAAACCGCCACATGTCTTTGCCACTAGAGAAGCTGAACAGAGCTTGCCTCTACCTGAAGAGCGCATGGAGCTCGCTGAGGCCTTTGCAGCAGGGGAGCTTCGCTCCACTGCTCGGAGCTTAAACGACGTGTAGTCAAATGTAGCAGCGAGCCGGCGTCGAAAAATCTGTTCACACAGCAAGGACGTGCCAGATGGGTCCTAGCTTCTTGTCACTCGATCTCGTCGATCTCAGAAGTCTCGGCTCAGAGATGTGCAGATTATGCCTCGCAGATTGCGAAGTTCATTTTTCATAGGCCTCGACCTGAGACCGATGATGCTCTCTCTGTGTCTAGTAGATGGATCTTGATTTTGGTTCAACTAAAACCCTTTCAAAAAGGAGTGGCGAATGTGGAGAGATTGAATCACTGAAAGCAACAAGGAAAGCGAGGAAAGCGTCGGGTCGCCAGGACGTGATGCGATCAAAAGAGTGGACCGTAGAACTTCTTTTGCATCTCAGCTGCAATTCTCGCTCCGTTCGGTTCGCGATGCCCGAAATGCTCCGTTCGTAGCGTCCTAGTAACGGACCGCAGAACTGTCGGTGCTTTCGATGTGTCGTTTCGACTTCCAAAACCAAAAGGGGGTAGGAAGCTACTAGGAACAAGTGCATCGCTTCTAGTAACAAGTGCCTTACTAGTAGTAACAAGAAGCTACTAGAAACAAGTGACACGCTAGTAGTAACAAGAAGCTAGTAGAAACAAGTGCCTTACTAGTAGTAACAGGTGCCTTACTAGTAGTAACAAGGTTCGCTACTAGGAACAGACCGCCGGTCGAAGCTCGTCTCTGAGGACGGCCTCCATTCGCTGGTCGCTGGCTGCACGTCGGGACCTTAGGGGGCATCGTTACTAGGAGCTAGAAGCTACTAGTAGCTCCTGGCCTTACTACTAGGAACAAGAAGCTACTAGTAACAAAGGGCATTTCTACTAGGAGCAAGGGCGCTAGTAGTAGCTCCTGGCCTTTAGGTCAAAAGGCTACTCAGTAGAATGTGTCTCCACATGCAGTAATTAGATCTCGATTTTCTGGCAACGTTTCTCACAAAGTGTTGTTTTTCGCAAAGGCCTTCGTTCACTTCGTTCAAAATATGTGTCAATTCAAATATGCAGATTTGCTGAGCTCATAGCTGACCACGAGCAAGCCACATATGTAAGCAACTTCTTCAACCACTCATAGCTGAGGCCCGTCCGATGGTCTTGGGCCTCATTTGTTGCTCGGCACCGATCCACGGTCGCCGAAGACTTTGTGACTTTGCTTTCTCCAGAAATCCAGCCCCGTTCGTAGCGTCCCTGCTCCTAGCAGCGCCAGGAGCCCCGTTCGTAGCGTCAGTGGAGTGATTGTGTATAACTACAGCAAACATCAAGGCATGTTTGGTTTTCCCTTGCTCATGCATGCCTCTGCTTTGCCTGGACAGCATGTAGTTGATACTGATGAGTAGGAGATCGTTGACATCCCGGGCATCTTAGACGATAGTCATCCTGAGGCATAGCCGTCCAGACGCAGCGGCTCTCTTCATGGCGCGGAAGGGAAGTGAAGAGGTGTGTAAAGGATGAAGAGGAACGAAGAAGAGAAGAGAAGAACATTAAGAAGGAATGACTTCATTGCAGGTTTTCAGATGAATGAAGATAAGAATTTCTTGAACTATCGCCAGCCTTTGTAGTAACTTTCTAATCGCATTCTTTCACCCAAGACCCTCTTCCTTACGGATCTGACACCTAACCCTGCCTAAACCCAAGAAACCCAAGACCTGCCTTGCCAGGAAGATCCAGTGACCCCTGTGGCGAAAGTGGATCCTGAGGGAAAGGCCGTCGCGAAGTTGGCCGAGCCAGCCGCAGGGCCTGCGCCTCCCACGGCTCCCGCTGAGCCCGCCTCGGTGGAGAAGAGCAATGAGACCGAAAAGACCGAAAAGACCGAGTCCAAAGAGGAGGCTTCTAGTAACAAGTGCATCGCTTCTAGTAACAAGTGCCTTACTAGTAGTAACAAGAAGCTACTAGTAACAGGGAGCTGGGTGCGTAGTTACCGGTGGAGACAGGTCGGATGGACAGTTTTATGCCCCGTTCGTAGCTTCTTGTTGCTAGTAGCGTCCTTGCTCCTAGTAGTACGGCCAGGAGCCCCTAGTTGTGTTCTTGCTCCTAGTAGTGATGCCCTTTGCTCCTAGTAGCGTTCTTGTTACTAGGAGCTTTGGATGAGTCTCGTTTTGAAACTGAAGACGTCGACAACGTCGGCGTTTGACGCAGGCTCCGTGTGAGCCGATTCCTGGCTCTGATAAGCCGCTCTGGCACAAAACGAGTGCGATCAGGCCTCCCTTATGAAAAAGGAACAAGTCTTTCATGCGACTTAATTAGAGGGATTCCTGCAGCTACATGACCTTGGAGGACTTGTAGGACTTGTACCCTCCGCGCTTTTGATGCCAATCAATTTTCAGATCGCTCAGTCATGGCGAGTGGGTTGGAGGCCATCTAGAAACAAGGACGCTACTAGGGGCTCCTGGCATTCGCTACTAGGAGCAAGGACGCTACTAGGGCCATCGCTCTTAGGTTGGAGGCCATCGCTTGTTGGTTGATTCACCCGAACTTGACGCGAAAGAAGGCAAACCGGCCGTGAAACACGCAGTGAGATCTGTCAGCTGACGACTTTGCTTTGGCTTAGGTGGGGAAGGATGAAATCGAAGCCAAACACAGAACCGAAGGGCAATGCATATTGTTGTGCCCGCGGTTGCAGATACATCGTGGAGAAGGACTGCCGGTTTTGTTTCTAAAGAGCACTTAGGTCCAACAGCCCTGCTGTCACTCATACTGACTGTTCTTCTTTAAGGTCAGAAATTGTGAGGAACATCTTCATGTTCTAGCAGAAAGGAGCAGGTGAGAATTCCCGATTTGGCCCTATTTCCTAGGACGATTATGTTTTGTATCCGCCAGCACAGATTGTGCTACTAAAGCAGGGCTTCAACTCACATACTCACACATCTCCATGTTGATCATTAGATTGGAGGCCATCGCCATCGCTCTTAGGAGCAAGAAGCTACTAGGGGCTCCTGGCCTTACTACTAGGAGCAAGCACGCTACTAGGGGCTCCTGGCATCGCTACTAGGAGCATTCTTACTACTAGTAACAAGAAGGCTAGTAGGTTGGAGGCCATCGCTCTTAGGTTGGAGGCCAGACTCTGATCATTGCACTTATGTTGTGTTGGTTGTTGGCCTATGCCAAGCATGACAGGGTCAGTTTCTGAGAGCCAGGACAAATGTGATGAATGCAAGAAAGATCTCCATACTGCCACTAGCCTTCAGCTTCCAACTGATCAAAGTGGTGACAATGTCGTAGCTGAGGTTTTTCCGCCTCAAAAGGATATTGACAAATATCAAGAGAACCGATGCTCAGCTGCAGTGGTGACAACAATGTCGTTGCGCACGGACTTCGGCGGAGCGCACGGACCGAGGAAAGTTCCGAATTCCCACGGGCATCGACAGCTACAGTGGAGTGGTCTCAAAAGGATGCAGCAAGAAGAATGCCGTGATGTGTCATGACGAGGACTCACGACACCCAGACCATCCCAGACACAAACAAGCTTAAGCGTACTTGATGAAGAGGTTGCTGTTTGCCTTGCTTTCTCAAAGTGCTTTCTCAATTGCTACTATAAAGGGCGCTACTAGTAGCAAAGGGCATCGCTACTAGGAGCAAGAACGCTACTAGGAACAATTTCTGCATACTGCGTGACCCCCAGAGTCTGCTTCGTGGACATCGGGCATCGACAGCTTTGTGAGGAAAAGGCGAAGGTTTGCTGCTGCAACCTAGGCAAGGATCGGTTCAAGAGAGACGATGTACCGTACAAGAGACTGATGCGCAACACAGAAAGAGCAACACGCAGATTGGAGTTCAGAGTGTGTGATGATGCAGGCTACGTCTTCGATTTCAAAACCAGGGAATGCGTAGTCGACAATGAGGATGCGGCTAACAAAGAGGACCCCAGCTGAGTCGAATTCAAGAATCTTGAGTTGAGGCAATGGCCTCCAACCTGCTAGCGATGGCCTCCAGCCTAATCCCTTGGCTGCCTTGGCTCGAAAAACTTCAGCCTCTTCATCCCCCTTTCTTGTTGAGCGATCAGTTGCAATTCCTTGTGAGGATCCCATTCCAGGAAGTCAGACCTGGGGATTCACTCACAAGAAAGGTGCTGCAGACAAGCCAGACTCTCAGAAACTGATGCCATGAAATGACTTGGTTTATATTGGTTTCAGACCAAATGAGCAGCAGATATTAACATTAACTCCTTTGCATTGGCATTTGTTGCAAACATTCCTCAAGCCATAGCTTTTACACAGCAATCTTCTTGATCGCTGAAACTGTTGAGGTGCATGAACGACCAGAAAAAATGGTGTTGTCACCGGGGCTGCGTTTATGAGCTGGAGCATGACAAATGTGGCCATTGTGCTGGTTACGCTCCTTGGTCAAACAGCTGACGTCGCATATTCGAGACGGTCGAAGGGATCCGTGCGAATTTCCCTTAGGTCAAGTCTAGTTGAACATCAAGCGTCCAGATAGGTCTGATAGGTCTTGTGATTCGAACATAACTCATGCACACTTGGGCCAAGGTTTAGTAACAAGAAGCTACTAGGTGGTACTACTGGAGGCCATCGCTGTTAGGGTGAAAGCTATTACTATTGTAGTATCCTCTGCCGAATAACCCCTATAGAATGGGGGAGGTTGAGCTCCAAAATGACCTGGCATTTTATAGAGTTTTTTCTAGAATCAAATGTCAACCTACCTGAGACAGATCCACTCTGAGGATCTCTGAGGGGAGAAAATCATATATTGATGGGTCAATAGGTTGATCGCCCTCATTTTATAGAGAATACATTACAATTGAGGACAATAAAAAATCAACCTGTGAGTGTCCAACCCTGTCCTTATAAAATGAATATCAACCTCTATAGACATATCTTGTTTTTGGGAGTGTCATTTTCTGTCCATTTTTTTTAAATAAAATGAATTTCAACCTTGCAATGTTCAATCATGTTTCTATAGAATAAAATGCCAACCTCTTTTGCCATTGCTGCGTAACTTTCCTCTAAAATAATATGTCAGCCTTGATGTTACACCCACTTGTCTTTAGAATGAGGACCACCCCTGGCTGTTTCTATTGGATAATTCAGATTTTGAGCCTACAATTCTGTTACATTAGTGCCTTAAAGGGTTGACTCCCTTTATTCTATCTATAGAGAAACTATGCTGTACACTACAAGGGTTGAAAGCTAGACTCTATAGTGGGGGCATTGTGCTCCCAGAGCCTGGTTCAGTCATTTATCACTATAAAATGGGGTTCTCAACCCCCACCACTTATTCCACAGAGGATATTATAGTAACAAGAAGCTACGAACGTAGCGATGCACTTGCTCTTTTTTTTCCCAGACTGGGACAATTCTGGTGAAACGACATCCAAACGATTCCAGCGACGTTTTTGGAATCGGTTCTTTTCTTCCGTCCCCAAAGGCGGATCCAGCTCCTGCGCCTGCAGAGCAAGTGATTCTGGAGTTTTCTGGTCGTGGCATCTCGGATTCGATGCCCTATTCGAGCGAAAGCGGTGTTAACAGAATGTAGAGCTCACGTCAATCATGCACTAAATATGGAAGCAATAGACTTCACTTCTCACTTCTCACTGACTCATTAGTTCATCCTCTCAGAACCCGCTTTTCTTTAGTGCTTTGCGGACGGAGGCCGATGGCGGATACCCAAGTCGATCGACAAGCCAAGTTGGATGCGTGGGAAGTGCAGCACCAAAGATGCTCAAGCATGTCCAGGCGAAAGCTCTGGGAAGAAGGACCACTGCTGCTGCTTCCAAGGCCGGTGATATTGGACAGAGAGGGGATGGAGATGGATGGAGATGGATGGAGGGTAGAGTAAGAGAATGTAAGAGAGAGCATTTTTCTTGAGGGAGAAGGATGTGCCAAGATATATAGTTGATCATGAAATCATGGATCAGGCAACACCGTGGGTTGTTCAATCACACCCCTGCTTGAAAGATGCACTTATATATATAAATGTGTGATTGAGGGAAGACTTGGCTTCGCCAGGCAAACTCTTCTCCTTTGAGACTCGAACATGCGTCGACCCGCCCAGCCTGCAGAAGGAAGAGGCGCAAGAATATCAGGCGCCGGAAACCGATTGGGCTGAGCGGCCGAAATGTCAGAAGCAACGTAGCTGACGTAAAATTGTTACTAGTAGTAACAAGTGCCACGCTAGTAGTAACAGGTGCCTTACTAGTAGTAACAAGAAAGCTATTCGAATTAACTTTAAATTAACATTGTTACTACTAGCATTGTTACTACTAGCGTGGCACCTGTTACTAGTAGCGATGCACTTGTTTCTAATAGCTTCTTGTTACTACTAGTAAGGCACTTGTTACTACTAGCGATGCACTTAGCGTTAGAGTCTTGAAGTTTTGAAAGAGTTTTGTAGCGTTTTCGAGTGTTTAAGAGCTTTTTCTTTTTCCATCTTCATTACCCATCACATGGTCTGACATGGTGTCACATGGACAAAATTGCTCATTTTGGATATTCTGGATTGGGTGTGGCAGTGCCCAGTGCATCAGGCCATGCAGTCTCAAAACCAAGCGAATGTGTCTTGGCATCGGGTTGAGAGGTTGAGAGAAATGCTAACGTTTGCATAGTTACGCAATCTTCAATGCCACAGATGACTACAGGGTTGGAGATGGTCTAGATTCTTCTGCTTAGTACAGAGACTGCTCTTTGCGCATACCCAAGGCCAAGGAGCAGAGGGTGGAAAATCCTCAACAATTAGATCAAGGCCAGACTGAGTGGACTGACCCACCCACCCATGATCACCCTTTGTCCACATTTCAGAGATGGAAGCAGAGAAGAAAAGTATGGAGGAAAAGTGAATCAAAAGAATCCTAAAGGCAAAGATCAGCAAACTATATTGTGAACTCTTTCCAGCGTGTGACTTCAGGGCCGCCTCCCCCTGGAGCTCCGCCGCCGCCGGCTGCGGGGCCCCCGGGCAACGCGCCGCCGGAGGGAGCTTCCGGCGGGTCCTCCAAAGCGGCTGCGGTGCAGAGCATGGCCACCGTGGCGAAAAGCATGAAGGTGAGGACGCTACTAGGGGCTCCTGGCATCGCTTCTTCCTTCTAGTAACAAGAAGCTACTAGGGGCTCCTAGCCTTACTACTGGAAACAAGAAGCTACTAGGAGCTTTTTCCCGCGCCTCTAACCTGAGAGCGATGGCCTCCAACCTACTAGCGATGGCCTCCAACCTAAGTTCGATGTCCTTCAACCTAAGAGCAATGTCCTTCAACCTAAGAGCGATGATGGCCTCCAACCTGAGAGCGATGGCCTCCAACCTAAGAGCGATGGCCTCCAACCTGAGAGCGATGGCCTCCAACCTAAG